CATTCTTGGAGTTGTAATGCAAAGGGACAACTTTTCCAATCCCTGGGTAGTTCAACAGATTTGAAAGGCAAAGGCAGAGTAAAGCTAGTAAGAGACAACCTGTACTGATGAACAGGAGCTCCTTCAATCTCCTCGCTCCCTGACTTTGCTCCTGTGTGAGGAGAACCATAATGACGCAAGGCAACCAGCACAAAACATGCCCTCAGCCCAGAATGGGGCCACCAAAACCCTGCTGGAGTTGTTTTATGCCACCTTGCAGAATAAAGTGGCACCAAAGTTCTGGAAAAGGAAGGAAAGGAAGTTGTGGGAGTGGGCAGGCAGTGGTGACGATGTTAAAGGAATTTATTTTCAATCATGCCCAGCCATGCTTAGTATAAATACCATATTTTGCGCACCATAAGACACACTTTTTTTCGTATTTTTCGCACCAAAAGATGCACTTTCCCCCCACAAAACGGGGGCGGAAAGTCTGTGCGACTTATGGAGCGAAGAAAACAGATTATATTTTCCTGTTTTCTTCTCCTAAAAAATTGGTGCGTCTTATAGAAAGGTGCGTCTTATGGAGCGAAAATATTTGCGTTAGTTCACCATGTTAGATATTAAGAGATTTATAAGTATCAAGCCTGACCCTAACCCTTTACTCATATAAGGAAAGGAACATATTGTTAAAAGAATGAAGGAAAACAAGGACAGGAAGACAAAGGAAAGGTTACAGATGAAACAGCAAAGAGAGAAGCTGAAGCATAAGACAGGAGGGCAGGAGTCAGCCATACCAGTCAGATGAGGAATGCAGATAAGCTCAGTGATACATGACTAGCAGGGTATATAAGTGGTAACACACATCTGTCAACTCGAGACCCATGTGTATTGCTTCTTCTGCAGAATAAATAATTAAACACCAATAAGTCTTTTCGTGGTGGCGCTGTGGGCTAAACCGCAGAAGCCTGTGCTGCAGGGTTAGAAGACCAGCAGTCGCAAGATTGAATCCACGCAACGGAGTGAGCGCCCGTTGCTTGTCCCAGCTCCCGCCAACCTAGCGGTACGAAAGCATGCAAATGCAAGTAGATAAATAGGGACCACCTCGGTGGGAAGGTAACAGCGTTCCATGTCTAAGTCGCACTGGCCATGTGACCATGGAAGATTGTCTTCGGACAAAACGCTGGCTCTATGGCTTGGAAACGGGGATGAGCACCGCCCCCTAGAGTCGAACACGACTGGACAAAAATGGTCAAGGGGAACCTTTACCTTTACCTAAGTCTTTTCATAGTGGGTGTTCTCTGTTGCTCGCACTTTGCAAGTTATTGCAGTTGGCCTACCAAGGTGCTTGAATGGTCGGTTTTTGGAACAAGGATGGGGCACCCCCACCCCATAAAAAGAAGAGGCAAATAAGATGTCAGACACATATTTCAGACCTCATGTCTGCTGCGGCAGGCTGAGGCACCAAAGGCCACCAGTTTTTATTGGGAGGGCCATGCCATCATCACCACTGCCTACCCACTGCCACTACTGTTGTCGCATGCCTTCTCCCTCAATCAGAGCCACCCAGCATTAAGTGAAGAAAGTAGCTGCTCAGAACAACCGGCCTTCGGCAGCTGACGTTAGGTGTGAGAGAGGCCCTGCTTGTCTTCTCCTTGTCTGCATGTTGTGGGAACAGATGAGGAGTCATGCCATTGCCTTTGGCCTCCTGCCCCACCACACACCTTCTCCCATTCCAGAGCTGCCCAACAGCGAATGAAGATCTCTGGGAAGCCGATCTTTGCCGAGAATGTGTGAGACATGTGCCTGATGCCCATAGCATCTAACGCCCGTGGTGACCGTCAGCATTAAACGTCCTCGGGGCTGTACCCTTGGGTTCCCCCCCACTCCAATCCTACTACGACTGCTGCTGGGGGGCAAGACAGATCTCACAAGTTCCCTATTCTATTCATCTTCTCCCAAGATGAGTTTCATTAGAGTTAATCTAACCCTAAAAATAGAACCTGATGATGTCCGGTTTCTGCTGCGGCAAAATATTATGCACTGCAGCATATGGTAACATTCGCAGGTTCAAAAAGTCAATTTGTGTCACATTTCTTTCTTTCTTTTCTAGCGAACGGGAGACGAGCATGCTGCTCCCCTTCTAGATCCTGAGTTGCCTTCCCTTCAGGCAGTCTGGTTTCCTCGTCCTTGTTTTAGGCATCCCGCACTTCAGAATCCTGTCATTTACACCCTAACCATGAAGGTTTTCCCATTCTGCAGCCCCCCCCCCGGCTGGTTTGACCTGTTGCTGTCTGTCAAAAATAGTCACTCAGAACCTGGCAGTATGAGAATCGAGCATTGGCGCTTCTCTTTGGGTGCATAATAGGCAGCTTTTTGCTTTCACACCTCTTAATAGCCTTTTTCAAAAATAGGTTTTTCTCTCACAGGATGCCTCCCTCACCCCCTCTATGGCAGGCTCCTCTACCTCTGTGTTTGCAAGAACTAATGAAGATTATCTTTACTTATTAATAGGACTGCTTATTAATTACTTATTAATAAGGCAGCTCCCCCATCATCACTCTACCCTGTATTTCCTGCTGCCTCAGAGTGATCCTTTCAGCTCAGAACCTTCTCCAAACCGCACGGTGGCTTGTTAAATGAAGCAAATAGATTTGGTTTGTGAAGTCAAAATGTAGAGGCTGTCTACTGCCATTTGGGCAAAACATGCCAGCCAAACTTTGGCTAATTCATATTGCAATGTTTGCCATCTCATTTTTTTTCCTCCTCTGGGCAGTCAGTCCCGGTTGCTATGGACAGGTAGTTTCCAAAGAAGCAGCTATATTAGTTTGCCTCAGCTTGTTGGCACGAGTAAAGGGGAAAAATAAAAGAGTGGAGGGGGGAAAAGCAAAACACTGTGGAACTATACAACTGGCAGATTTATTTCAGTGTGAGCTTTCATGGATCAAAACCCACTTTTACAGACACTGGAGTGAAAATAGAAGTCCCATATATTTATTTCAATCTATAATATGTATCTTCACTTGGATGTGAATTTCACCCCCATGGAACAATTACCTGTTCTGTGTTTGAAGAAGTGAAAGCTCACACCAAAATAAACCTTTTAGTCTTTAAAATACTACATTATTTTGCCTTTTTTCTTCTTCTTTGTCACATTTATGTTTACCAGCATATGGATAGATAGATCCTTTAAGGCTTGCATTCTAGTTCTTGCCTCACAGTTCTTCAAGGTTTTCCAAGAGAAAACAATTTCCAAACACATGGAGATTTAGACATTGGGGCTGTGCGCTCCTTGGTTCCCTTTACCCACAGGGAGGGAAGTGTGGCCCACAGATTACACACAGCTCCTCACATCTCCTAGTGTAATCCTGAGTCCAACTAACCCACCAATGCCCCCCCCCCGGTTTTTCTTTACAAAAATGGCAAATTGTGTCCCAGATCACATGGGCATGATTTGACATTTGGATGTGGTTTCTTCCAGTCCCAGGCAATAAACAACTTTTTTTAAAATAAAGAAACTGGAAGTGAGGAAATATTTTTGGACCAAAACATTTGGAGTGGGTAGGGTAGGGTAAAGGGAACCAGGGGGTGCAACATCCCAGTTTCTGCTGGGGTCAAAGTTGCCCACAATTAAACTACTAAATTAGTAAGGCACTAACACAAATGAAGAAGAAATCTGTGTTACAATAAAGACAGAAACAAACTGAGAAGGTTAGTTACTGCTAATGGTCAAAATCTGATCATTGGCACTACCATTTTAAGATCATGCAATATTCAGCACAATCTGGGGAAACTAATAAAAAATAAGGACTCAGGTGGGAAATTCTGGACTTACTCTGGAGAATTTAAACTTTTCTCAAAAGCATTAAATTAGACTTAATGAGTGACTTGTTGCAAACAGATACATCCTCATTAGGTCTAATTCCTTGTTAGTGCTTTTGCAAGTCCAGCTTGGACTGTGTATCCTGTCTTAATCATTTAGCACTAATATCTGGAGAGCTGATTTCCTGCAAATATTTTAGTACTGCAATGTAGAGCTGGCTCTGTCATCTAGTATAGGATTTTGGTGCTGATTTGCTCCGATTGTGCATTACAACAATTGTAGGGAGTTCTGCTGTCCCAGCAAATGATGAATTATGACTTCATGCTGTCTGCCAATGTCTCTGCAATATACTTAATCATATGGTAATTATTAATAAACCCTCCTGTCTTTAAAAAAATTGGTGGAATTTAAAGCAAGAGGACCTTTCAATGGGGATGCTGCAGTGGCAGTTCCTATGGTGTGACACGGAGAGAGAATGTAAGAGTGTCACAGGATTATGTTCGGATTCATGAAGACTGGATTTCTCCAAGTATTAGGGAGGCTAAATAATTTACAGGTGCCAACTCATGAAAGAAATATGATGGCCTGCCCCATGAAGGGATAAATCAAATTTTCTTTACCATTTCAATAATATTTTTTGTAAAAAATGCAATCTCTTTAAAAAAAGGGAAATCTGCAAAAAATATGGCAGCTTAAACTCAATAGCAGTAGCAGTAACAACAACAAAAACAGCCCATCTCGTCTGTTTATTAAACAAGACTCCCTATCCTTTATTTTAAATATTTTGCCTTAACTTCTTGATGGTGCTTTTTAGTTTCATTTTTACATAATTTAATACAATTTGTTCCATCCATTGGTTTTCATGGAGATACAAGCTGTTCGCTTGTGGAAAAGCTTGGCAGAGGGGCAGAGGCTGGCAAAGAATCATCTCCAGGAGTTTGTTCCGATTTCAAAGTTCTACAAGGGGCACCGGCCCTTTTGAAGCACATTCACTTCAGAATTGAATCAAGCTGCATCTTCTTTTTAAAAATCTGTTCAGTATTTCATCTTCTTTATGGATCCTTAGAAAAATAAACCCTTTTTTTTGTAAGATGCACCAGATTTACACTTAAAGATCTGCCTTTTAATGTTGAATTTCTTTAAACTGTGCCTTGGCTAATGCTTGAAAGAGAACACAGGTGTTTCTTAATTATTTGTGCAGAAGGAAAAATTAATACCAAGTGGCTGTAATGATTAGAACACGAAAATACTCAAGTCCACAGTAAGTAGTAGTCTTGTTTTTTTTTCCGCTCTGTTTAATGACTCCTCAGAATAAATAGACTTCCCCACTTTTATTCATTTTTGGCTCTCTTTTTAAGTCTTGTCCTGTCTTCCGTACTGCCTGCTCTCTGCTTAACTAAAATTAATCCTAAAATTAATGCCAGAATTACAGTGTCTTGGGTTTGCTATAGCATTGAGCTGATTTGCTTTATTTCTAGTTTATTCACATCATTGTGTATTTTCCTCTCTCTTTAGTAACACAACATTTATACCTTGATAAAACACCACAAAAA